AAACATTGGCAAAAATCTGTAATTGAGTGCACTAGGAATGGGAAGAAATAAATAAAATACAATTTTGGAGGCAGGAATAAGTGAGAAAAGCAACTTTTCAATATAACCACAGACTGAAATATTTATTGAATTAACAAGATAAGACTAAAGTGCAACAAGTGCTAAAAAAAACCCAAACCAACAAAAAACAAACAAGAGTTACCACTGGCTTTCCTTCATATTGCCTAGAGAACGACCTACAAAAAACTCAGATGTAAGAGTACCATGTAAACAAATACACTACAGATTAAAAACCTCTGAAAACAGACGAAACACTGCAATAAATTTTAAGACTCTACTTCATTTAGTTTCCAGCAAAACTAAGCTGATGGAGTGGTATTTGTAGTGTGTGCAACAGAGAAGGCTGAACTTGACAGTGACTGATAAATAAATTGACAAAGTCTCTATGAAGCAACACGAGCAACAGCATAAGTAACTGAACAGAACTCAGAAAGGAATCAAAATGCAAATACATTCACAGGTAAAGTGGAAGAGAAGTCAACTGTACGTTCTTTTCTATTACACACAAAGATAGAGAAATATTATGTAGTTTACGGAATAATTTTAAAAAAGGAGAGAGGGATAGATGAGTCCTTTTCAGCTTTTTAAAATACAAGCCAATCCACCACTTGATGACCATAAGAAATTGCTGTGCTGCCATTATTAAGGGCCTGACACTGTCAGTAATCTTTCAGTTTAATATGAGGATGGAGTATGAGGTGGTTATCAACCAAATGGAATTAACCTTGTAACAGTCAGAGGTTAGTTTTTAAGCATGCATATGAGACTAGTGGGTTTTACCAGAATGGTATTTTGCATGAAATGCTTCAAGAAACATCAGGTAGTGTCAAAAACTACCAACAGTGGAGGGGTGTCTGTTAAGCTTGTGCTCCTTTCCTTTCTATTTCCAGAGGCTTCATTAAGTATCAGAACAAAATCATTTGTACATCCGAATCCCTGCAGCCTCCTATATTGTGTTTCCAAATCGTAATGAAAAAGCCAGCAATAATTTTTCTTTCTTACGAGTGGTGCACAGGGAGTTGTGTGCACAGCTTCTCATTAGCAAAGTGGGATCCGTGTGTACTTGCAAATAATGCAAATATTCAAAGAAGTATAGAACACTTTATAATTTTAAGGAATTAAGTGAAATATTCCTTAAAGCTATCATAAAAGATTTTTTCTTATTCATTACATATGCTCTTCTGACACCAAGAAATGGACAAGCAAATTACTTTTATTACACATAAATACTACACAGAACTGTGAAACTGACATATGAAAGGTAGATCATGAAGAAAAAACAAATAGATTCGAAGGAAGGAGAACATTTAGATTAAATCCAAGGAGTAATTTACTTTTCTGCCATGAACAAGTTTGGCTTTCAGCAGAAATGTATAAATATCCTAAATTTGATTTTTTTTTTAATGTGTACACAAGTTATATACTCTTATTTATTTTTACTTCAGTTGTACTCAATATGTTAACACATAATTTATAAACAAAACTGATTCAAATTTTTGTTTAACATTACAGTAGTCATTTTAGCTATTGCTTCTGCCATTCTTTTCCCATTTTCTTTAAATTTTTCAAACTTTAAAAATAATTTTCTTTTCTTCTTTTTAAGAAATAATAAAGCAACTATGAAATGTGTAAAAAAGTGAAATACAGGAAACTATATTTCAAGTTCCTCAATATTAGTTTACTATATATTAAAGTATAAAATGAGCAAAATTTGAAAATGACAGCATACTGTCAAAGATACAAATTGACTATATGCTTGTGAACAGCTTCAGCTACCTTGTAACACAGTCATCCTTGGGACAAAATGAAGGAAGTAATACACGATATTTAGGACCCAGGATTTAAATTTTTCAGCTTTGCAGATGTAATTTTAGCTACAGGGATTTTGATCTTTAATATGAATATTGTTGTGAGTAACTGCAACATTGGGTTTCAAGAGTCTTCCAAAAGTGTCTTCCTTCAGAAAAGCAGATCTTTTCAAGGTTATACTAGTTTTGAGATTGTCAGTGCAAAGAAACACAAGATTACTAAAGCATACAGCATATTTACATTTACACCTCTTCACTTCTCTATGAATGCACACACCACTTTTATTCACAACTACGTTAACATAGGTGGCTATTGCAACTATTTTATGCAAGAGTATTCGTAATTCAGTTCTACTTCACAGCTGGTGAAGAGTCTTGTGTTGCGAGACCAATAAAGCCAAAGACTTTGTGCAAGAACCAACAATTAGAGAATGACACAGGAGCAATTTAAAGGCAAGAACATTGATTTTATCACCACTGCCTCTTCAGCCAGTATCTGACTTCCACTGCTTGTCTTCCAACCAAAAGGACTGAACTCAGCTCTGAGGTATCACTGTTGCAACAGCTCGTGGCAAGATTGTTTAGTGCATGAAAGCTGAAAATTTGGGTTCCTTAGAGATCCTGGCAAAACTTACTACTGCATGAAAACCAGGGAAGATCTGAATATGTTTGTATATGTTCTGTACATAGTGAGACATTGTATTAAGACATTATTAAGATATAAAAGTGGAATTCTTAACAGAACAATACCCAAATACTCAAAACTACATGTTCTTGTACTTATTGTTCTAGAACTTCATTCCAAAGGTATTAACAGATGATGTATCCTGAGAACAATTTCAGGATAAAAACTCAGTACAGACAGAAGAATTATTCCTCTTCTTACATTACTGCTGAAGCAAATTACACAGTAAGTAAGGAATGATTTTGGTAAGTCCCAGGGAATGCATTTTCCATTAGTTTTGAAAGTGTAACCTTTAAATTTAATAAAAAAGCCTTCATGCTCCACATGCATGAATGGAAAAAATAAGAACTCAAGTAGCCAAAAAAAATCCTACTTATTTCCCATGGCTTTTAACCAAAGACTTTATGGTTTACTGCATAAAATGTCTTTCAGAGTTACTAAGTTGAAATCTTGATAGTATACATTAATTATATAATTTTTTTTTCCTTTTTATTTAGTGTCAATTAGACTACTGGTTTTAAAACAGCTCTTTTTCATCCCAGGAACACTGAACATTTAATAAAATAAACAAAAAAAGGTCACATATTCAAACAGGTATTTGCTGAATAAGCCAAATATTATCTTAGATTTAATGAAGAAATCAAGGCTAGGAAATAAATCAGAACAAGTCATACATTTCTACTATTCATTCTTAATGATTTTGTTGGGAATACGGACAGGACATCTATGGAAAATCTGCCTACTGGTCAAAGTAGTATTTCTGAGTTCCCTAGGGGTGTTAAAATCACAGGCCTTGTACATTTTCAATTTATGTAGACAGAGCAATTCAACTAAAGCTACTAAACTGCGATTTATACTAGTTGATGATCTACCCTTTACAAAATCCCATACACAGAGTAGTCTTTCTAAGAGCTATTCCCTTCTCTCTTAGCGGATAGAATATGGCTTAAGTGAAAAAATACTTTTCCCCTGAGTACTATCTGGTAATTTATATAGGAATTGATATGGCGGTAAATTCAAAGAGCAAATACTTAATTCATATAATCAGAGAAAAAAATGAAGCAGTTTCTTAATTGAGACAAGTTTTGAATTATCACACTGTTGTGATTTATACAGTTGCTCTATCACCCAATGCCTCCTCCCCACCCAGGGAGGGGGATCAGGAAAAGGAAAGGAGATTTGTGGGTTGAAATAGGAATTTATTTAATAAAATAACAGTAATAAAAATAATATTAATAACCATATAAAGTACAGAGAGCTATACTCAGCCAATATTGTGGGGGAGTAGGCCTCAGGGGTAGGATGGTAAACAAGTCCCTCTTGAGCTGTCAGCCATGGAAGAGGGAAGAAGAAGGAGCAGTCTAGAGAGGAAGAGAAGGGCTGTCCCCATCAAACTCCCCAATTTCTAGTGAGTGTGACATTTATGGTATGAATAGTATTAATTGGTCAGCCTGAAGTCACCTTGGGTTTGATTCCACTGGGTTTCCTCTCCTCCCAGCCTCTGCATCTGTTTATCTCAAGACTGCTGAAGATCTAGAGCACTACGGCAACCTGCATACCAGCATTATCTGAAACCTATAACAAAGTTTTATCACCTTGTTCCCATAAAATAGAGTGTTGTAGGCCTTTACAAAATTGCAGTTCTCCTCAACAGAAAACTGACTCTAAAATTCTGTCCCACAAAACCAGGACACATAGCTATTACAAAGAAAAGACAAAGATGATGCTTTCTCAAGTCTCTGGCTGCTGCTGCAATGACTTGCGAACCTTGCTCAGCTGCCCTCCTGATCTCCCCAGCTGTCAGCTGCATCGAAGGGAGAAGAATAGCAGCTTCATAGATTCATGAGCAGTACTAGAAAAGGAGGATGGGGGACCTTTGGACAAGGAAAACCTCCTGTACTACAAAACCTTAACCAGAATTTTGCAGAGTATTTAAACATGTTTCCCATTTACAAATAACTAAATACATGGGTTTGAAGCAACTATAATCATGGTTTTATAAGCTGCCAGTACCAATGTATTAGTATATTACTGTCCTTAGGCTATGTAATCCCACCTACTAGTAAGCCTAATAATTTTGGGTAAGTGGACAAGTTCAGACATATACTGGTTTTAAACTTAACTCATCTGATGACAGAACAGATAGACATGGTCTATAAAGTTCATGAGCTATGCGTGTCCTCTCTCTCCTCATGTCTTTTATTCCTGTCTCAGCAGGGGAAATTATAGTGTACTTAATTCCAAGACAGAACAGTTCTCTTCACATTGTATCTAGTAAGTTCAAAATGTTGCTTTGAAAAAATCCAACTAGTCTTGTTAGTGGGCTGTGAAGGCCCACTAAAAATAAATAAATAAATGCTTATTTATTTAAGCAAGCATATAAAGCATACATGCACAGGAAAAGCCAAACATTACTATTTCAATAAAATTTTGAACAAGATGCATACCTGCAGGTGTGATCATCACTTACACTTGCAACTTCTTGACCTTCTTTGGGAGCAAAAACCAGATCATTAATGTAATCTGAGTGGCCATCAAATGTCTGTCAACCAGAAAAAAGAAATAACTTTACCTTAGAGCTGACGGTTTCATCCATCCACAGCACATTTAATAGACCCACAAAAGGAAAAAAGTATGAATGTAAAGATAAAGCTACCATTTTACATGGAAAGTACTAAAAAAAAGTATTTTTTCAGTAAATAGTGTTCTTTAAAATACCTAATTCATGTGTACATTCATCCTGTAGGTGAAAAGACCCCCCCACTGTTCCTTGTTACCACACAGGTCAGCTTGATGCCTTTGCTTGAGAGACCAGTCAACTGCACCAGAACTTTTTATCCTCCTTTCAACCACTGAATTTTGAAGGTAGAAGATAATAAATCTCAGAAAGAGGAGAATGAGCAAGTGGTGAATGTATGGTCTGGAGCACAAGTCTTATGAGGAGCAGCTGAAGGAACTGGGGTTGTTTAGCCTGGAGAGAGGAGGCTGAGAGGAGACCTCATCGCCACCTACAACTACCTGAAAGGAGGGTGTAGTGAGGTGGGTGTTGGTCTCTTCTCCAAAGTAACAAACGATAGGATTAGAAGAAATGGCCTCGAGTTGCGCCAGGGGAGGTTTAGATTGAATATTAGGAAAAATTTCTTCACCAAAAGGGTTATCAGGCACTCGAACGGGCTGCTCACAGAAGTGGTGGAGTCACTATCCCTTGAGTTATTTAAAAGACAGGTAGATGAGGTGCTTAGAGACATGGTTTAGTAATGGACAAGTTACAGTTGGACTCGATGATCTTAAAGGTCTTTTCCAAGCAAATACTTCTATGCATGATCTACATGCATGATCTCAAAGAACTCTGATTACTGGCAAGTAACTCTTATCTCTGAATGGTAGTTTTTACTAGGGTTTCCTGCAAGCAGCAGGAGTTTTTTCATGACACAACAATAAATCAGCCACTTGTCCAGTATATGTCCTTTTCCAAGCAGTCAGCACACAAACTGTCTAGGAGGATATATATAAACATGGCAGACCAAAAAGCTACCTTTAGAAGTGAAAACTCTCAGTGAAAGAAGATGAAGTGGAAGACAGGGCACGCTGAAGACTTTAAGAATTAAACAAATGAGGAACAAGAGTACAAGCAAAACCAAGCAAGCCATACAACACCTTAGCAATTAAGAACAATTTCTATTAAGCATTTTAGAAATACAGACAGTGTCCTTTGTGCTCTCTGCTTTATATGCTGTTGTGCTGAAGAGGAAAGAAAATGGGGTATATTCACACACTTCTTTTACTGTGAATTAATAGATCATCCACTCTCAAATAACAGGATACGAGCACTCATGGTATGAATGTACATGTGAACTGTCACTCAAAAGCAAGCATTTACAGTTGTATCAGAAAGCATGAAGTCACTTCAGAGAGAACCTTGTTATTGTGTAATTGTTCTCACCTGAAGCTTCTTAATCTTGACATTTTTATTTCAAAGTACTGAGAACAATTTGCCTATAACAAAAACAACTTAGCAGCACAGCTTTTCTCAATAAAAGCAAAATTCCAGTTTCAGTAAAAATTAAAAGATAATATTTTACATATTTAGAAGGCTTTTCAGCTATCTTGGCCATAATATCAAGACACCTTTTTTCTCAATTCTATTAAGTGTTTTGTACTTATCTACAGACATCAGTAATTGAGGATTACAGTATCTTCAAAAACCCAAGTAAAAGAACTTACACACATTTAGCATTAAGTAAGCATACAAAACTCATCTCACTAAGGGTCCAGTCAGACTTTAAAGTACATTCAAATTCATTCACATGGGAGCCAGGTATGAATAAATCATCTCTGGACTCAGTAGAAGACCTGTATCTAGTTAAGATACCGGTTTGCTCCATCTGAGGATTTACACTTATTTTCCCTCATTAACTACAGCTATGGTCTTTTTAACAAATCTCACTTAAAATTTTAAGTCAGGCAAATGCCCACATGTAAATGTTGTATGCGTTACTGTTCCATCCTCTTCAGTCCCTCTGATTAAGTGCCAAGGCATGGCTGCTCTTGTTTTGCCCAGCAAGGTATCAAAGTGGAGACAAAAATATCCTCTGGATAATAGCATGACATGGAGAGATTGCAGAGGAAAACAAGGTCAAATGAAAACAAACAGTTCTACAGTTTTCTGAAAGGAAAACACACTGTCTGTTCTCTACGTGTGGCTATTCCAAGGAACCAATGCAGAACTGATAAAAAAGCCAGTATATCTCTCAAGCATGCACAATAACTAAATCTCTCTCTCAAAAAATTTTATTAATGCCTCATCAGTTCAATACAGAAACATTTTTCAGCAGCCAACTCATTTTTTTCCAATAGCTCATAATTTTGTTAAAACCTAGTGGATTATACTAGAACTAATACATCCTAAGATGATGCTAAACTATTTAGACAGAAATGCCAAGTCCTTTGAAAATTTTCAGCATTCTGAATTCAAATATCCTGCCTCATTTTACTTCCACAGTTCTGATTAAATATGCTTTTTATTAAACAAAATTTGAAGCAGGAGAAGGAAGCCACAATTCATTTCCAAATGAAAACTTCAAAAGAAGAAAAAGATTTCACGAAGATCCATCAGTCATATTTTACCTTTTGTTTGTTGTTCTGGGCTTGCTCCAACCCATAAATTTTTGATTAGTTGTGTTGACAAAGTAATGGAAAACTCAGTATGCTTCAAGTTCCTTGTTGATAATTACAGCAAGACAGTTTTTCCACTGGGAAAACAGAGTAAGATTACCCTGTCTATCCCTCCAGAAGCAACACATACTAATTGCTTAATATAAAAGACAAAATGTTCAGAGATTACATTTTGACTGTAATCACATAGTTTCTTCAGCTTTGTTTGCACAGTTTGTACCTCTTTTGAAAATCCCATGTGTACAGTGTGCACCGTACAATGGATCAAAGTCTTCCATGTGTTCTTCATGAGTTTAACCTCAGGTTTATGAAATAGCTTTTCTGAGGTATCAATTGACTGTTACCAAGAAACCACTGTATCAAACTTTATTGAAAGCCAGCTCAGCATAGCTCCCTGTTGTGAATATCCGAGATTTTGCAAATACTTTAAATCAGTGTTAGGTGGTTCTTGACAAGAAGTATACATAGTTCAATGATCGTCCAGGTACAAGACATTAAGATCATTACCTGGAAAAAGTATTTTCCACACGTTTTTGTAAAAAAAACCCAAACCCCAGAAGTCAGTCTGAAAGACAGCATTTTTACCAATATAAACACACTAGTCCACATTCTTCCTTTTCCCTAATGAATTCCTCACTATTAAGTAAAAATACGTAATTTTAGCTGTTTTCTGATTTTTAACATTAGAGCAAGCCTGACCCAATAACAATATGGACTTTTATTATTTATTATTTATCTTCAGTCTCAGTACATCGTTATTGAAGTTCTTAGACTGTTAATTCCAACGATGGAGCTGGCTTAAACAAAGCTAATAGTTTTACTATAAATTCAAGCCAATACTTTCTCATTTGTATTGCATTAGCACCAAATGATCTTTACTCTTCTGTAAGAAGTCTTCTGTCTTCAAAAATGAAGACATTTCATTTACCTTCAGCTGACAAAAAACAAATTCTATCTACCTTCTGTCTACATTAGATACTGGAGGAGCTTATTTATGTCAAATGGAGTTGAATAATAAAGATATTGTAGTTGCTTGTTACTTTCTGGGGAAAAATAACTTCTATACTTCTGATACTTACAGCTGTGGCTGTTCAGCCTAAATACCACAATCTAATCTCCAACACCTCTTGCATTAAGGCATCCTCTGTGGTGTCTAGACTCACTACCTATACTGAATTATTATTCTGACGTGTTATGCAATGAACATACTTTTGCAGTAGAAGCTTATAACTGCTAGTCAAAGCATTTTGTGTAGAAAGAAGTCCTAAGGGTAGATGAATCACTTCTCCAATGAACCTTTTTGTATGAAAAATAATTGCTGTCTTAATGGAAATGGAAATGTGGCATTTCAGATTTCTTTCTAGGCATCCAGTCAAAGCTACTGTGTAATAAATTCCCCTAAATTAGAAGTGCATGTTTTAAAGTGTCATTTGCATTGGTCAGATACCAGAAAAAAAAATTGTTAGAACTGGGAAAACAATAACCCATCACAGAAATTCTATTCTGAAAAAACAGCACTCAGCAGACTGTGCTACTGAGTTGTCCCCTCTGCTTCTCTGGTTGTAATATAGATCATGCACTGAGAATGAGCTAGAAAAGAATCATCTCATCAGGTCTATTCAAAACTATCGTGATTTTAAAAGTGTGTTGGTTGTCATCTCATTCTAATTGAGTAATAAACAACTTAATAGAATTCTTCATTAGAATAAACTTGCTTATTTGAACTTGCATGTTAGAAGTTTAAGCTCATGAATTATCAAAGGTGTGTTTGTGTGAAGTTATAATATCGATCATTACTCTAGAAGCAATTAGTTCCTAATGAGCAAAATAGCAGATTGCATTGGTAATTCTTAGTGTTAAGTCTGGGCTATAGCCCTTATTAATCTGCAAGAGTCTGAAAGGTGTAGGCATGAAGTCTATGCTGGAAGGTACAGAAGAGTACCTTTTCCTAAGGACCAGATGATGTAGGAACAGGAAGAGGTATGAAAGTTATGAACTGTCACTAAAGGGGAGGAGGTAGAGAATTCAGGAGCGAAGTTGAGCTCAGGAAGAAGGGAGGGGCGGAAGAAGGTGTTTTTAAGATTTGGTTTTATTTCTCATTATGTGATTTGATTGATAACAAATTAAGATTATTTTTTTCCAAAGTGGAGTCTGTTTTTCCTGTGACCATAATCGGGGAGTGATCCCCCTCTGTCCTTGTCTCAATCCATGAGCCTTTTGTTACATTTTCTCCTTCTTATCACACTGTGGGGGAGGAGAGAGCAAGCGGCTGCATGGTGCTCAACTGCCAGCAGAGCCTAAACCACTACAGTGACATCTGCAATTCACTTAGTTTCCGTATTACAAATACTATTGTCTTACTTATACAAATTACCAAGCCACAAATGAAAGTTTATTATTTTTTCCTTTATGCTCAATACACAACTCTTACCAAAAGAGCTATTATCATATTCCAAAGCACTAAATAAGAAGGAATCCTCTCACCCAATTTTTTACTATTAGTTAGCCTTGCATATTCTTGGCTGAGACTTCAACGTAACAAATTCAAACTGGTTAGCACAAACAACTAGTTAATATTAGTACTTGGACTGGGACATTGTTCGAAAGGTAGAATTTTGAAGAATACCTACACATCCAAGTGACATAGGAGCTGATATGTCTTGCAAACAAAAGAAATCTCCAGAAAACCAATCTTCTGCTTAGAAAGTGAACACAGTATTAAGACCTTTCTTCTTTTATATCACTGTTTTAAGAACACTACCATCTACACTGAAAGAACAGGAAGTGAAACTGCATTTGAAGTAGGCATTTCCTTTGTTTCTATCTTAGAAATAAACAAGTCACAGCCTATGGGCATGATTAATATACCTGTCTACAGCTGTGTTCTAAATTAAGTAGTCTTTCTTTACATTTCCTAATGTTTGAAAAAGTTGAACTGCAACTTCAAGTTTCCTATGAAAGAGAAATTACTAAATTTGCTTTTCTTATAGACGAGTCCAATAACCAATACCATATAAAATTTTACAGGTCTCTATGTAAAGGAACGTTATCTAATACGATACTTAAAATTCACCTGTAGAACATTTTGTTTATATTTCAAATGATCCATAAGACTCTGCTTGCTTTTCTTCGATTTTGTTAAAGTGTTACATAAAGACTTCTAAATCAAAAGATCATGGAACTGGTAATTACAGTTATTACCACTTGAAAGACAAAAAAGTGTAAACAATACAATTATTTTCCCCAGAGACCATGGATATAGGATCTGTCACAGTTCAGTGCTCTCTCTCATACAGTACATTAAGCAAAACGAGGCAGAAGCGCAGTTAAAGATTCGACTTCACTGAAGACTAAATATTTTTCTAAAAATCAGCTTAGCTGCCCTTACCTTATATTCATCCTTGTCCTGCAGGTCTGAAGTAAATAGCCTTAACTTCCTATCAGAAGCCGCAGTACAAAACCTACACTCAACAGACAAAGAAAAGCGCTTCAGTCAGTTAACACAACAGTAGTTGACTTTTTATCAGTTTCCCTTCAGTTTAAACCTGCAAAGTGACATGCAAGGGAAAATACAGATTTTGAAAAAAACCCGAAAACTTCTATCTTAACTTCTCTCCTTTGCCAACAAGCAGAGTTATAATTGGAACTTATCTATAAAATAGTGTGTATCAAGTGCCAAGAATACTTTTTCAAGGGAAGAAACACAAAACAGTTTACAAATCTAAATCTGAATCAACTATCAGTTACCTGAAATATCTCACATAACTGCCATTGAAACTTCCCTTAGAAGAAGTAAGTAGCAGAGCACAAAAAAGAGCTCTCATTATCAAAGTTTTAAAATACCGACACATAAATTCGTAAACCAATTTGTAACGTATTTTAAACAAGACTGTACAAATATGCAGCAGTAAGCAACCATCGTAATTTTGAAGAGGATTACAAGCTATTGAGAATACTTTAATTTTTAAGTGCATGTTTACTAGTTAATGATCTTTATAGATTTACACCTCAGCGGGTCTCACAAATAGCATCTGACCTACTCATAAACACAGTGCACACTATGTAGACCATTCCAAATACCTTTATAAAGCAGGCCATTACAACAGCCTAATCTTTAGTAAAGTTCTTAAAAGAATTCCTTCTCCACAGATGTACAAAGAAAGAACTAACTAGATTTTAGATCCATTAAAATTACAAATAAGGAAAAAAATATTTACTAGTTAGTTCACTGAGGGAGGAGCAAGGGGCACAAGAAACAGACTAAAAACAAACAAACAAAAAAGAACTACTCCAAGAATTAAAATGTTGTTCTACTGAACTTTTCGGAGACTTCATCAGTGATTTCTAAAGAGTCAGATTGCACCCACAAGCTTTAAACTTAGTCCAACATTAAAGAATTAGGGAAAACAGATAAAAGACAATTGTACTCATTTATTATAAATACCTTATCTGGGGAGGTAAAGCATCAAGTCTAGTTTCTGGACTCCAGGCTATGGCATCAACTCGGATTCCATGATGAAATGTTCTTAGTGTCTTATATTGCATGCCTTCCACTTCTGCATCCTCCTCCTAAAGAAATATTGTAGTTAGCTAATCCAGAACAACATCTTGATGATTTCTAACAATTCGGATTGATATCAAATTGAAAGGCTTTCAAAATTACATGTATCTGGGAACTTTTTAGTTTGTAATACCCTCAAAGTGAAAACCTGGAACATAAAGTATTAGCTTGAAATATGTGAGTACTTAAAAATATATTAAATGATTGCAATTTCAAGCCAGAGGCCAATGCACAGCACAAAAACCAGAACTGAGCTACAAAGACGCTGAGCCCATTCTTTGTACAAGTAATACCTTCACAGATACAACTAAAGCCACAGGTAACAGCATGGGTGAGTAAATACACACTGCAATGAGAAGAAACAGTGGGAACAAAAGCAAGCATGTCATTTAGGCTATCTTAACGCCAAGCTGTTTTTAGCACTTCCAGAACAACATTCTTTAAACAGCAGGAACTAGAAAGGTACCCTCTGTCATCCAACATGACCAAAATTACTAACTTGTCTATTCTTCCCACTGGTGAGCACACTGGATAGTGGGAAAGACAAAACAAGTGTTGGCATTATGGACTCAATCAGTTGACCTCTAAAAAATGAAGTTTTCAAAACATCTAAAGGAGCACCTCAAAGGATATTTCTACAAACTTTTCTTGGTGTCATGATTCTGCTTTAAGGTAAAGAACCACTTCGAATGCCCTCTGCATAACGTGGAGGTTAAGAAGAACCTAGCTGAGGAAGCATGAAGTGATCCAGTTTTTGTTTAATGCTTCTTGAAGCAAGGAGCAGGAATAATATTTTCTTCCCCTACTTTGAAATACTAGGTGCCTCCATATGTGGAAGGAAAGATAGGAAAATTACACAAAGACCAGTGGCTGTCAAAATTTTAATTAGTTCCTTTTCAAGGCCTACAGCAGAAACTCGGTAGAGGGCAACACAGATGACAATAGGTTTTTGTGGTTAGCACTACATGCTTTTCAGAATATTTCCAACATTAAGACTTTGGGGAATAATAATAATAAAAAGAACAGTGATGCTGTTATTCATATTTGATAAAATACAAAAATAATACTGTATAATAGAGAAGAGAGTTGAAGAAAAAAAGCTTAAAAGTAGATTCCAAAGATAACAGTTGTCTCCTATTGATTTTCAAGCATCTAGGCAAAAAACCCCTCTAATTAAAAAAATCTTATACAGTATTAAAATATACACTACACAGTATTTTACACTTTAAAAATGCTCATAATACGATAACTCTAAATAATTTCAAGGTAAGAAAGTATATTTTAGTGTTTCTAACAGTCTGTGAAAGATCCAATAAAAACAATTGAGAAAGCAAACTAAAAATGGTAATAATTTCTACAGTCCTTCCTTAAAAGAAACAGCCAAAAAATTAACACAGAAACTTTAGTTGTAAAGCTGAAGTTGTACTCTTTGCTATTTTGCAAGCTAGCTGAAAACTTCAGAAGATAATTAAATCTAAATACTGAATGTACATAGAACAAAATATAACTACAAAAAAGGAGCCAATCACCCTGTGATGATAAAGAACAACATACAGCAAATATTAAGTCACATATTTCTAAAGCTGTGCACTTAAGCTCTCAGATAGCAGTCACCAACATTAGCAAGAGATACTAAAATGGGATTACTCTTGCAGTAGAGCACTTCAGTTTTCTTTGCAGTCTGTTCAGGGAGTACAGCGATAGGACGAGAGGTAACAGTTTTAAACTGAGTAAAGGTATGTTTAGGTTAGATACTAGGAAGAAAGTCATGAGACACTGGAACAGGTTGTTCAGAGAATTTGTGGATTTCCCCCCCTGGAGGTGTTCAAGGCCAGGTTGGATGGGGATTTGAGCAACTTGGTCTAGTAGGAGGTGTCCCTGCCCATGGCAGAAGGGGTTGGACTGGATGATCTTCAAGGCCCCTTCCCACCCAAACCATTCTATGATTCTATTTAAAAGGAACTTCACACCAGCAGGATATTAATTTATACCAATGTGTATTTTATATATACACTTACTATACATATTTTCTTGAAGAACAAATATCCCAGACTGGTTAATGTAACAAACAAGCAGAACCCTTCCCTGATTACATGGGGAGGAGAGGAAACAGGAAAGTGACCAGGATCTTTAGGCAGTAGAGGTGCTGGCAAAGTAAGATTCAGGAAGCAGCTAATAAAATCAACAATAACACAAACTAACCTGAAATCTGCAGGTCCCAACAACTACGTAATTATTGCCGCCATATGCAATGAGGGAACATGCATCTCCACTATCAAATGGATTGAATTTTACCACGTGCACATAATCTTCACAATCCACAGTGTAAGCAGTGTTTCTAGTAGAATCTTGCTTCATCTTTAAGGTATCACAGAAGTGAGGTTTCCTCCAGGATGAAAATCTACATTCCTACATAGAAAGTTTTAAAAAGCATGCATTACTCATTTGCATAGAGAAAAAACACAAAAGGTATTTGTGGCACAACAAATCAAAATTTCCTGAACATCATACTGAAGGCGGCAAAAGCTGCACTTAGGCTTGTTATTTTTAGATGGTCATCCATCAAAATATTAACTAACCTAACTAACATAAGTTCAAAATTGCCTCTACAGACTTCAGTAATAACTGCAGATTTTATGCTACTGTTGGCAACCCAACACCAAGACAAAAATTTAAGTAACTGTACACAACAAAAAAGTGACATACAGAATTTTTAAATTTTCAACAAAATTACAAGAAATAATACATTACTACCTTCAAATTCTATTTGTGTACCTCTTTAAAGGCCGTCTAATTAAAAGCAGAGTTATTCAAGGCTGCAAAACTGTAAATAAGAACACTGTCATGCATAATAGTTAAAAATGGCTTCATGACTTAAGCCACTGCAACTGCAGACAGAGCACCTATGCCTCTGTATACCAAAACTTTACTGTATTCAACCAATTTTCAAGAAAATCAGGTTTCTGTCTAGAACAGAAAAGGCTGAGATACACAACTGATTTCAGAAACACTCCTTTTAGTCCCAGTGCAGATCTGACACTAGCTTAAGCTTTTTTTGGGGGAAATGAGACATTTAATTACACAGCTTGTGGAAAAAACAGTTTTAAATCTCAGACTTTTGACAAATTTTGCTGTGCTAACAATCTGAAGGTCTCAGCATCCAAGAGTGAGTATTTTGCTTGGAAGTCACCCAGGTTTGACACAGGCATCACTGAGACACCGAGACTCCCCATAGTTGCAGTGTTTATTAATACAGTAAACCACCACATTAACGTAACTACTTTAGCCACGTAACTTGTATAGCTCCGTCCTAAAGGTCAAATCCAAATTTTAACCCTATTCGTAGTTTTCTTCTTTTACAGGAAGACAGGAACACAGGCCACCTGACTAGTTTTAAGCGAAAATGCCAAAAATGCCATGAGCTTCATTGCTTTAGGAAACACAACTCGGGCAACCGAGCCGTGTGGGTCCCCATCACCCACCCACCCATCTATTTCCTCTCCCTCCCCGCCCCACTTTAACCCCCTCCTCCCTCTTTTTCTCTTCAGGGCCCAGCTGCTACTCCGGAGCCAGAGATGTGCGTGTCCCACAGCGCTACCGGTCCTCAGGCGAGGACAAGGGGCTTTAAGGGGCTCGGACTCGTCGGCACAGCGGCCAGGCCGGCTCGGCCCATGGCTCTGACCGGGCAAAGCTCCCCTTTACCCCGGGACGCGGCACCCCCCGACCCCCATCTCACACGCACCTCTACGGCGCCAAATCACCCACCGGTACCGACTCTCCCGCCAACAGCGGAGCAGCACCTCCCACCCCAGAAGCAACAACCCTATGCTTCCGGGTCAGCGGCTCCTCATTGGGTAGCTGCGGAGGATCTAAATTTAAACCGCCGGCGAGGGCAATTACGCGTTCTGCCTGTCTCATGAGGGAGCCGGGCGAGTGGCTCTGTCCTTTCCTGTCACGTAGGTAGCTCTGCTAGAAAAGCAGGAGCGCTTCAGCCAGCCCGCCGGTGGGGTGTCGGGGCTGCGGTCCCTCTCCGGGAGAGGAGGGGGTACCGCTGCTTCGCCTACTAGCTGAGATGGGGGAGCTGCGCAAAGGTTGGCTGAGGGAGCTGGATGGGGGTGGCAGTAATGGTGAAGTCGGGTCACGGTGTTAGGATTTGGCGCTTTGGCTTGTTCAAGCTGTTTCGCTGGACGTTTGCTCCGAGTCTTGTCTCTTAAAAACCTCTCAAAGTGGGGAGTGGCGGGGGGGCCGAAATGCTTCCAGAGGGTTTTTTGTTTGTCCCATAGTGACTTGCACCTGCCCATCGGTTTCATCCTCTATGGTCTGCATGTTTCATTCACATGCAATGCTAGGCAACAGTGTTTCGGGTGTAAAGAAGGCAATTTTTTAAAAGAGTCTCATGTTGTTGTATCTTGAGAAATGCAAGAAGGTGAAAAAGACCAAAGCATGAATTAGTGAAATTCAAAACGAGTACTGAAACTCATTGCCAAAGGAAATAGGGGAGATAATGACTTATAGAATAATAAAAAAATAGTCTATCAAGGTAACATAAGCATTTAAAAATATCTTGTAAGTAAGTCTTACAAATATTATCTTGTTTCTGGGTTTAAAAGAGTTTATTCTAGGAACTTAAGCTGCAAGAAGATACAACAGGATTTGCAGTTTATTGGAAGGTGAAGATGCACATAGAAGTCTTGCTTAGTTATATTAATTTTTATTCTCTCAATTACTTCTATCTTCTACTCTAGACAATGACTGCTTTCCAGCAAAAAGTTTTAAACTTGCTGAAGTGTTTCAGAAGACAGTGGCCTTTATTTTCAAACTCTGAAAGGACTACTGTATGTGGAGCAGACTGCATGCTGATGGCACTACAGCTGTCAATGGCTGAAGTTAATAAACAGGTTAGTATTCTTTCAGTACGTTCTTGGTACTTTGTGCATGTCAAACTTGGTTCTCTTACTGGACTCTTTGCTTGAAATGGTCATTTTGGTCACTTCATTGTTGTTTTAACTGAGGGTCAGATGCAGCAAGGCACTAAAATTATTATGATTAAGCATACTGTTGAATCAGGGCTTAGAAAAAGAACCACAAGATAGCTGGGAGGATAGAAGTGTTTTAAGTGTATATTTAAATTTTAAACTTTAGTATTAAATATTAGTGTATTTTTTTTTTGCTCATGTAACTTCTGTTTGTTTCTATCAAAAGTTTCTTCTGGGCTGTCAGTGAGGGTGAGAACTATGGTATTTGGAATGTATCTTTTTTCCAAGTGCTCTGAAAAGTCTTTATAATGACATGGGAAGAATATAAATAGAAAACTGTTCTGAAACAGGGTGCATTAGTTGTGCTTACAGCAATCTGTTCTTGGCTGCTGTTTTTCCTGTGGCTCCTCAGATGAAGACCTATACATATAAATTGCAAGTGTGCACCCAGTACCAGTGGAAATATATGGCCTTCTTTGCAGGTATACAAGCTGTGTCTGTCACATGAAAAATAGAAAATGTAAACATGCACAGAATATAATGAGGTCTGAGTGTGTAGGGTGACTAGAAACTTCTAGCTAGAATTTTGGAAAGGCAGAGAACAGTACAGGAATGAATTTCCAGGGACAGTGGTCGAGACATGAAAAACAGGTTTACAAGTAATTAGTGAATAAAGGACCAAATTCTGATTTATGGAGGCCAGCGATATATGTATAATCCTGTGACACAAACCCTCTGTTTTGACTCAACCTTTAGCTCAACCTAATTACTAGCAGAATTCTCTGCTACTATGTATTTTTACTTCTTGTGTAAGTAGCATATTAATGCAAATCTTTCTTCATGTGCATAGCTTGGTTTACAGAATTTGAAACTGACTTTCTGGCTTGCTCAGTGTTGCAGTCTTTAGACATTGACAATATACTTACCTACTTTAGTATTAGCCCCAAGAGACAGGCTTAGATTTCTTGCAGTTTCTTGTACCCCTATGCTGGACTGTGAAACTTAATTGAAATATCTGATGCTCAGGTAAGCTGATTTTTTTTTTTGCCCTACTCACAACTGTGTTTCAACTTGGTTTAAAAAACAGTACTTTATTGAAAGTAAAAAATACAATGACAGGAATGAAACAAATAGGATTATGTACTGTACCTAAGTATTTTGTTCTCAGACTGCAGCAATAACAGCTCCATCCTCTAGCTTCTCACTCATGCAACTGGATGTTAGCTGGCTTGTGTTCGACTTCCATCAGTAACACATTGCTTGGTTTGTGACCCAAATAACAGTGCTTTGTCGCTTACTTGGCTTCTTTTAAAATTCCTGTGAATTCCAGCTCTGCTATCTACTATTTTTTATTATGCCCTGCTGCCATACTTGCGGCCTCCATCCATGCCAGGTTAGCCAATGACTTTGGTTCTTTAGTTACTTCTGCTTCATAAATGAGATTATGTTCTACTTCTTAGTATTTTCTGTTCTCCCACATAGAGAACTTTTAAAGAAAAGCTTAGTCACTTCTTTCCTTTTAGTTTAGAACTACACAACAAAACTGCAAGTTTATTGCTTTACAATTAAGTGTTCACTCATCTAAGTGCTTAGGCGTGATTGCTTAATACACCCTTACCTATAAATGCAGTAATAGCACATGTCCCCACTTTGATTAAAATACTTTGATAAAAATTACGATAAACTAGTATATAAATTAAACTTTATTTTAGTCATTTCTGTTGATAAATTTTCTGTGTCTGTCCACCAAAGGTCAACAGAGCACTCCTCTTAAGAGTTGGAAAAAAGAAAGTGACTGTTTGTTGTGATGCAGCCTCTTAAGTTACTTTGTGATAAATTTGAATTTTCTCTTTTGCCTAGAATAGGAAAAGGTTCTCCAGTTCCTAATAAAATGCTGTTAGTTATTTTGCTACCCATGTATGTGTTATTTACCCACTTTATCTGCTCTTTTAAATTAACTTTCTGTTAATGTCTAGTTCTGCTAATTTTCTGACAAGCTGTAATTCACAGAATGACAGAACGCTAGGGATTGGAAGGGACCTAAAAAGATCATC